GATTATTAAAAATGAGAGTTGTAATATGCCTTGCCATTTATATTATAACTAATCAGATTTGATCATATTTTTAACAAGTGGAATAGAACCACTATTGTTAATTCATTAATCAATCTATTTCAAAGTTCAACTAAAATTAATTAAATTATTTTGGTTCACTCAAATTTAATTTGGTCAAAAATTTGATAGTTTGGAATTTTTTGTATAATTTTGCTTTTATCTTTTTATTAGACTGCTTGTCAACTAGAAAATAAAACAATCACAATTAAACCTTTTGGAAAATTAATTGGTAGTAACAAAAACTTTTAATTGTTGAAATACACGAATATTTTTCTATGACTTTACGTGAATTTTAATTAAATTACAAGTAAAATGAGACGAGTGGATTTGATATTTGTTAAAAACATCCTTGATGAAAATGTATTTTCAGTAGATAGTCTTGGATGTATGGGAAGGATTTGTCAAAGTGATGAAACAAACAAACTAATTAAATGTGATGGCGAATTTTGTGGTGGTTTTAAAAGTAAAAGGTCTGAAATTGTATGAAGATGAATTTAGGAGAACTGTATGACATGGAAATCATTTCCATTTCATAAAAGTAAATTAATTTATCAAAGTTATGAGTAAATTATAAGTACCTGTTAACAACTTTATAACATAAAATTAAAAAACTTATAATATTAAATTTTAGTTTCATTCATACTTTCATTTTACTTTTATTATTGAATAGTATATTTGTATATAAAATATATATTTATACGCATCTGATAGAATGCAAAAATTTGCCAAATATTGCGTCAAGTGTTTTTTGAAATTTTACAAAGATGGATTGATTTGTAGACGTGATGGATTATTACTTGAAGCGGTTGATGTAGAATGTTCACCACAAAGTGAAGTATACGCACCATTTGATGGTGATCTTTATTTTTGGAAACCATTCGGTAATCATATAAATTACGAATGCGCTGATGAAGGTGTACGAATTGAGGGGACTGGTCAATGGCAAGGTGTGTAAATCGAGTTTTGCAAATGAGTAACTGCGCTAATCAAAAAGTTTTTGCATATAATTTAAAATTAAAATGATATATTATTTAAAACTTTTGAAATTCAATGTTATTTTTTGTTATTACAAATTCAATAATATTCAACAAAGAATTTAGAATCCATTTTTTTCAAACTTTCAAAATAAAACTTTAAAAAAAATAGATTAATATTCAATTTAATATCTCAACCTCCAATTCTTAAAATAATGCTTATCTTTTTCATGATATACTAATTGATAAAAGTACTATAGTTAATAAAGTGCTCAGTATTGGATATCATTACAAACATAAGAATGAATTAATGATCATAACATGTTGATTAGATATTGGATGATCAAAATTTATGCAAAACATCAAATCTAGCTAAGTTAATTACAGAATGAAAAAAAGTTATATTTAGCATACTTCAATATCGATTTTAAATTTTTGGTTGAATAATGTGTAAGAAAAATATAGGAAATGGAAAAGAAAATCATTTAATTAATTCTAAGTTTTGAAATATTTCCGGAAATACTACAATTTTCGGAATACTTTATTTAAGGTTATCATGTACTGATTGCCTCAGTATCACTAGACGTTTTCGGTGGGCGGGTCAAAAAAGGTCAGCGAATTGGGATTGCTAGAGATCATCGATGCATATATGCGGATGATGATGGTGATCCATTTGTTCGATTACAATTATTCAAACAAGGGCGACCAATCGATCCGACATTTCATCTTTGGAATTGTAAATTTTTCAATGATTTGAATTAGACCATTATGAGTATTTTATGCTTGAATATCTCAATTAACACAAAATTTAATTTGTTATTATGAGAAAGATATTAGTTGTATATGGCATGAGTTGACAAATATGATAAAATTAAATCATGAATAATCGAAATAGGTTTGAATTTAATATTTATTTAACTTTAAATTAGAAAATATTTTATAGGTATGTGCACTGGTCAGATCTGTGAGTCAAATCCCAAAAATGAATTACTAGGATTGCCGTTCAAGTATGACAGGTTTGTTTTAACAATATATTCCATTTAATTCTATAAATGTATTTTGATTTTCAAAATATTTTTCAAATATTTAATGTTTGAAAATCAAGAAAAATATTTCAATTCTCATCAATTATCTTTCTTTAGTCGATATAATGCAGTACGTGGTTGGGATATTAAATGTCCAAAAATACGGGATGATGATGAAGAGGTTAACATTTATCATTATTATAAAGGAAATTTAAAAATATTTGAGAATTAGTGATTGAATTTTTAACAAACCGGAAAAATTTGATCGATCGTACTTCAGTCTACTCCATGCAGACCGTTGTATTCTTCTCCAAGATTATTGTAGCCTAAAAGTTTTTTTCATCTTATTACAATCAAGTTTAATCAATTCAGATGACGATAAATTATAATGATTGGCTATTTTTCATCTCCTTTCTTTTTTTCGAATTTCAACTTTTCCTTGTAGGAAATGCGCGTTCCGGATATTTACTCACCGATTGATGCTAAAGTTATCGGACGAAGTCGCCTATATGCTATTCAGGGTGCTTACATTGGTTGTGATAACAATGGTGTAGTACTTATTGGTACCGGTGATTGGACTGGTAAATTTTCAGGAAAATATTTTGCGTGGGATTTTTTGTAATCTTTTAATTTTTTCCTCATTAATTGACAAAATATTAGATTACGAAGTTGTACTATACAATGTACGTTATCGGGATCAACTGTTAGGATCACAACATGTTGTACAAGGTGAACCAATTGCAACTCGACTTGATTGTGATGATTCACCGGATTCGGTATTCATGGAGGTTAGTGTTTATTTTACATTTAAGATTAATAAACTATAGTTGTAAATAATCAAGGTGTTAATAATTAGTATGCTTATTCATTCAACATAAATGAATGATTTTTTTTTCTTTTTTTAATATCATATATCATGCTTTATTCTTTTATTTAGCCATACTTATCCAAGTTAGATTCTTTTTTTCTAAATATGCTATAATTCCTGAAAATAAATTCAACGGATTCTCGTAGTATCACTGCAGTTGTTTCAGGTTCGTTATCATGGTGTTGTTGTGGATATAAGCGAAATGATCTCAGCAAAACGATGTCGTATGCCGGATTTTCCATACAAATAAGAACAGCTGAAGATTTTGTTGCGTATTCATCATTTTCTACTTATATTTGTCACAGTTTTGATCGATTCACTTCGATCCTTTTTCTTCTTTCTTTTTTTTATTCCTTTTTATTACTAATGTATTTGTTGGACGAAAACAAATTCTTTCTTGTAAAAATGAGCAATTTGTCAAAATCATTTCCTTTTTTTAGAGCTTATTATCATCCGATTATCAGTTGAGTAAACAGAAGATAGTGTATCATCATCACTACAATAACAGAATAACATTTTTAAAATTTTTTATTTCATAGATTTTCTTCAATCTTTTATAAAATGAGAATATAAAGAAGAAAAGATACAACTTCTGGATTATAATAATCCGTGAAATATTACGCAAAAACGAATAAAAAGTTGCGAAATATGTTGGATATCTGTTTGTTTAATCAATAATTTTCATCAGCATTATTAACTTATTTAAAGTAAATATCATTAGTTGTTGTATAAAAAAAAGAAAAGGAACTCAAGAGAATGAAGTAATATGGGTCAGAAGAAATTTGGGAAAAACATATTATGTAGAATTTTGAAGGAACTCGACAGGATGAACGTAATATGAATTCACGTGAAATCTTGAAGTATAATAATAGTATCAAGCGTAAAGAAAATTCCTGTTAATGTTAATATATATAAGTTCATGAAAATATCGCAAGATGATCAGTAAACAGTAGTTCAATTTGACAATGTACGGAAGTGCTGTAAAATGATGCACTGATTTATCTTGGCTCATTTCATTAATGGAAAACTCTGATCCATCTAAGATCGCTTTGGTAGTAACAAATTTTCGGTAATTGGCTATATCCTTATTCTGGATAACTTTAAATGATAACATTAGCAGATAGACAGTATCACTATTAGTTTCAACCAACAGAGACAATCAATTCCCAATGGTTAATGATTAACGAGAAGGATTATCTAATTTTTTTGCATTTCTTCATATCTGTTCTCTTGGATTCATATGTTAAATGGCTCTTCTACTGTAATCTAAATACTATAATTAGCAAGGCTAAGAAAATAAAAACTATTGGCAAGTGTTGTCCCTAAATTTTTGACCAAAAAAGTAGCATGTAAACAATCTGCGAAAAAAAGAAGCGCAAAAGATTCTTAAATTTATTTCATCGTTTATTTCTTTAATACCTAAAAAAAGATTCCTTTCAAAAGATTTAGGTTCCTTTCACGCGGAAAAAAAAAGCTAACCTGAAATTTTGACAAATAAGTAATTCGATCCTTTAGATACATATCGGATACTGAGACACTCTAATGTCTTCTTAAAATGGAATTGGAACGCAACGCTGTTGAACGCCTCCCTTCCACAACTGTCTTTTAGTTTAGAAATGATCAGTTATATACATGCGACAACTTTTTCATCAGTTTAGTCCGTTTTAAGGCAAATTTAGTGTATGTAAATTGTATTTTATAATTAAAAACATTTTACTATAATACAATTAGGAAAAAAATAATAAAAAAAAATTCAGCATGTGAATCATAACTTCGCAGAATGAAAGTGAAGTAGCACATTGATATAGAATTTACCTTTGAACTTTCTCATTTATTATCGCGATGATAGGATAGTTGGAATTTGGGAAAATTGAAATTAAGTTTTTATGGAGAGAAATGTAATACATTACTTGGATGATCATAATGTCATAAAGGTGAAATTCCGATAATTAATTTTATTTTTGAAGGGTACGAAATCGACCATCAAATAAAATACTGATGTGAAATTACTGATTCGCATTTCAACCAACGATGACTAATATTATTTAGCTCCACAAGATTCATTCATTGGTCACCAAGTAATGGAATAGGTTCAGGCTATTTTTTGGAAAATCAGGATTTCTGGATAGTTTGTAGCCTTTTTAAGAATTAGGTGTATGAGGTATGGTTATCTAATTTGTCTCTTAGATTGTTCTTTTAATTTATCCCTTCTAGGTTATTTTTAGGTTTTTCTGCGGGTACATTTTTTAGGCCTTATTGTTTTAGATATTCATGTTGTTTAATTAACTCACTTCTTGTTTAATTAACTCATTTCCAGGTGATAGGATATATTAATGCAAGATGACGGGCAAATAAGCACACAAAAAGGACGGAGTGTGAAATGGTTACTGGGATGGAGGGGTCGAAGTTGGTACGGAATGACACAGATTCTTCCATATTTATATTTGGGTAGTATATGTGATGCGAATGACGTAGAACAATTGAGGGAGAAACAGGTTACTATTTTTCATTGTAACTTACGTATGATATTATTTAACCTATTGTGCATTTTAATTTGGTCTGACTCTTGATTTTCATGTTTTTTATTATTATGTCTCATAACACTGTTGCTTCGATTATTACTTTGCGTGAGTTTTCGTTTTACACCTTTTACTGTTTTGTTTGTTATGTCAAATAGTGCAAATTAGATCAGGTGGCGTCGGATGTACAAATAGGCAAACATGGTAGGTTAGCTATGGTTCCGAAGAAAGGTCGGTTTTATTATTATATCTCTCAATATGAAGTAGCACTTGCAGATTCATATATATATATATATATATATATATATGAATTGAGATATATATGTATAAATTATATAAAGTAATATAATATGTGCATCTCTATTCTTCTAATAGTATGAGCATGAAGAATGGTTATTGTTTTATGATTAGATCGATCACGTGGTGTCGTTACATGAGTTGAGCGGACGTACTGGAAGCATTTTAAACGAACTCAATATTTTACGCATACATATGGCGGATATGCCTGAAGCAAATATTAGCGAACATTTCGCGGAAACCGCTACATTTATCCATCGTGCACGCCTATTGAAAAGTAAGTAAATAATGTAAATTTTGCTAATCATCCGATATCCAATATCTTTTGCCGAGAATAATTAAAGCGGGGAAAAACGCTTGTTTATATAATGGTTTTTATCCATAATTCTTGAAAATGTTACAATTCACTGATATTTTATTGGCTTTTTTATAGTGGTCCATTGGCATCTCCGATGATGAGTTTTTAATGGAATGTTGAATGTGGTAGTAAGCTGATTTTCAGAATCGGTACTCGTACACTGCATTGCCGGAGTGAGCCGTAGTGTATGTATTGTTGCAGCTTATCTTATTGCTGCATGTGATATGAGTTATGCTGCTTCTCTAGCATATATCGTCAGTAAGCGACCCTGTGCCAATCCAAATTTCGGATTTCGCATGCAACTTGCAAAATACGCGGGAAAAGTTGGCTACTGTTTTATTTATATAAAAGATATATAAGTGTGACACATATATATTTGTTTTGGTAGTGAGATACATATATATATATATATATATATAACTTGCATATATTAATCATTTTGTCATCATTTCTATATTAATCATTTCATCGTTGTCGACGAAGTTATATTTGCAGAGGAGTTCCTTAGATGGAATAATGATGAGAAGCCAGTTTGGTAGTGAAGCATTTGATGAACTGAAGGCAAATGATAAAATGCTACTGTGTGACTTTTCTGCAGCCTCACCATTAGATACTCCAGATGAATTAACTGTATACGAGGACAATAAACCTCCTTCTCCTAATACCTCCATAAAAAGTATAAATTTACTTTATTCACATTTAATAAACACAAGAATTTTGCACAACATGTTCTTACTGAAAGTCAGTCTAGAAAAGGATATGACCACTATGGTTGAACAAGGATTTCTTACTTGTGAAAACCATGGCACTGATTTCTCCAGCTATGTCTTATAAGTTTTTTTTCTTGAAAATGCTGAATTGGATATAAATTGCAGAAGGGTGTGTCGAATATGAGAAATGTCAAAATAATCCAGCGAATAGGTCGATTCTTAACGATGCTGATATTAACTTCATTGATCAGTAGCACATCTGTTATTCATTATCAGTTTCTTGTATGTTTGGTTCATTTTCCCACACTTCCAGATACATCCATTATCTAAAAATCCGATATCATCAACTCATTAAGATATAACGGTGCTAATGATTGTAGTTAGTGTCGAAGTACGATATAGATAACACACAGAAATTCTCAGCAAGTCGAGAAAATACACGTCCACTAACGATAACTACCCTAATAAGCCGGTGATACCTAGGTAATCTTTTCTACCGATAATCTTTTAATTCTCAGATTTGTGGAAAGATACCTGCGACAGAGGGAGTTTTTCAGAGAAATCAGTGCTGTTTTTATGGAAATATTATTTGTTAACTGTTAGAAAATCCATTGCACTGAGTCAGTAGGCGCTATTTATAGTTGTGGAACCTCAGTTAGATTGGCATGTTTGTATTGCATGGATTGCATTTTTCAATATTTTTAATTATCTGTCTTAGAAGAATGCTGGTTCAAGTTTGAAACAAGTGCTCTCCAAAAGGCATTATAGTTTTTGAGTAGTTGTAATGTGAAGACAAATTCGTTAAACTACTGGTGCTAATTGTTTATGTGACATTTCGTAGATTTCTCTTCGTTTTGTTTCATTTGTATCATTTTTACCAAATTAGAAATGGAAAAGACTTGTGCAGATAACAGTCAACATATTGAAATTTGATAATTAAAAGAATTGGTCTCACGTACTGATCGTATATGCTTATTTACTGCACTCTATTTCCATTTGTGAACAAAATTAAAATGAACAGTAGGAAATAAAAGATATTAATAGGTAGTACTAGATAGTAGTATTAGTAAAAGGTATACTGAAAGATAGAAATGAATTGATTATTAATTAGCAAAAATCACATCCGCGCTGAAATTCATGTTCGTCGGCTTATTGAATATAGAAATAGTGTCGTGAAATGTCTTATAAAGTATAAAATTGTTTCAGCAAAAATCAGTTCTATTTAATCATTTAGTTGCAGCTCTTCCAACAGTTCAAATAATGTCGCTTTGCGTGAAAAATTATGAGAGGGGATACAACGTAAGCTGAATGTATCAATCGTTCATCAACAGTACGATTCTTAAGAAGTGCCAGATTTCTCCCCACCATCTTCTAGTTATAAAACTCCATCATACACTTAATAATGTCATTATCAACAAATAGATTATCACTGTGTAAAGCCAAGTAATCGTTTCTGCTCTTCATGATGCAAAGCTTTTGCTTGAAATAAAGGAAAAGCAATCCAGAATAACTTTACTCCGGCATGCGTTAACTTTTCATTAACTTTCCACTAACATTAGAGTAATGGATGAACTCCCAGGCGTTCCCTATTTTTAATTGCTTTTTATGAGTGATACACAGTGAATAGACAACCAAAGCAAACACAACTAAACTGACGGACTAAAATAACAGAATGGTTAATGGTGTTTTTGAATTAATTTCTCATTATTCTTTTAATCGTACCATAATTTCATCCATTTTCCCATATAAAATTAAAAGATCAAAAACCAAAAGAGTTTAAGTCTGTCTTCTGATTATATCGCTATTTCACGTTGCGCTTTATCTTCGGATTAATTTAAAACAATTTCGCTTTTTGATACAATAATAGCATAAAAGTAAAATTCGATTACTGTGATACAAAATTGCGACAACGAATGACTAGCAATCTAATTGGTATCAAGTTACTGCGGAAGATATGTATGATATTTATCCCGCGGCACTTCAAATGTTGACTAAATAAAGATTGCATTAAAAAAGATTGTACCATTGTAATGATGGAGGATGATTTTATTTGTTAATTTAGGATTCCACTAATTTGGAATGCTTAGATAAGTTAGCAAGATAAAAATTATCTTGTCTGATTTAAAATTTCTTCCAGCTTCAAAACTTATTATAAGAAAAGTGACAAATAAAGGTTTTGCTCACTTTTGAGAAAGAAATAAACCTTTGTTTGCTAAATATTTCGTTTTTTATAATTGATCAATTTAACAAAGTGCTTTTAAGATTTCGTTCTTTTATTATATTTATTTATTTCTTGCCTTGGAAAAGAATAAGCTTCAAATGTATTTTGGTAACGAACCAAAAAAGTAAAACATAATAATGTCTTATAACTAACGAATATATGAATTATTGATTTATTAGCTGATCAAATAAATGAAATGGAATGTAAATAACATTTACAATATCAAATATGTAACAAATGAATTATTACATAAAACAATCCGTTGAAATAGCTTTATATTCAATCATATCTGTCATCTTACATGTCAAAGAAGGAACTCAATTAGATTGTGCTGTGATGGTAGTTTAATTGGCAAGGTGACACTATAAATTGAATAATTTACACCATCTACCATTTTAATGCTCGCACAATATTACTGGTTGGATAGCGCCTAATAAGCCATTTCCGTGTCTGAAAAATATGCACATTTTTAAATTCGTATAATGCAACAATTTCTATTCGATTTATTAAGAGATATAATTGTCTTATAATTAATTGATGATAACATGCATATTCCCCA